TGATTATGTCTTGCACTGTCATACTCGCACTCAGTCGCATACCCTCGCAATCCACTCCACCGTCTGGTCCACCCCACCCACCTTCCACCATACGACCGGACTTCTAAACCCCCCACCCCACCTCAACACACCCGCCTCGTCAGTCGTACCCAGCCCACATCACCGCCTCCCACAGCATCCTCGCTTACCCCTACCACCCTACGCGGGCTTTTCGGCCAACGACCCTGTGAAGACTAGCGATGGGGTCACCGCTCGCCTACCCGCATTCTCACCTCTTACCGGGTGGAGTGCGCGGGAGCGCGCGGCTGGGTGTACGCGACTTCGGTAGCAGGGAGGGAGATAGGAAGGTAGGTATGTAGGTAAGTATGTGGATGCGGGTGCGGGAATGTGCAGGAGGGCGTTTAGCGGTGGAGGGTGTGTGTGTTGACTTCGAGTATGGGGTTGGAAATGTAGGAATGGGTTTGTTGGGATGAATGGGGTGGATGGGTTTGTGATGGTACTTCCTCACTGTTGTGGAGAAGTAGGAATGTATCGCTGGGTGAGATCGCGACAGCAACAACAATGCAAGTCACAACGAATGGACATGAACTTGTTCTGAATAATATATTATACGTTATGAGTTAAGATAGCTTAATCGCCTATATAGTCGTAAAACATGTATACCATAGAACCCAATACCTCAACACCAGTCCAACCTTTTTGCGTGGTATCATCCTTAAAAATATCGCCCATCATAAACACCTTGCTCAACCCAAAATGCAAGGAAAGCAGTAACCGCGTAATACAAACTTACCCATCAGTATCGCTCTTCCCACAGGTAATCGCCCTGATAAACCCACTCGGTTTCTTCTTCGCAAGCTTCTGTTCCGCGTCTCGCCGCCTTGCCCTCGCATTCTCAGCGGCTTCAATCCTAGCGCGCTCCAGCCCTTGATCTTCTTTACTAATGTTCATGCTCTTCTTTGCCTTCTTGGGTGTCTCTCTCAGACACAGACTGGGCCTCGTGGCGTCGTTGTCGCTCTCGGTGCTGTCCATACTGCCTTTGCCTTCCCTGGGCCCACTACCTCGACCCTTGGTTTTGCGCCGGCCCATCCAGCTCGCGAGACCCGCTCTATCCGCGTCATCGTTATCGCTGTCCCAGTCGTCCCAGGCGCTGGTTGTGTTTTCCAGTTTGGTTGTTAGTGTGGTTTGGATGGGGCAGAGGGTGCTGTATTCTGATAGAGCTACACTGTCGGTGCGCGCGTGGGGGTAGGCGGGCTTTGGCAGTATTGCCGCGTTTGCTAGACTGGAGCGTCGCGTGGAAGAGCGAGAATGGGTTGCCCATGGCGGTGGTGATGTAGGGGTTATGGGTGGTGAGTTCATTGTAGACCGGGGTAAAGGTGCTTGTTGCGCAATTTGTAAACGCAGGAATGGCTCGTTGGGGTCTGTGAGAGATGTCTTTCTTCTGTTTCGTATGGGGTCGTTGGAGAAAGCTTCCAGTTCGGGGGGTGGCTGTAGTGTGGACAGCCGGAATGAGGGGTCTGCAAGGTGCGCTGGTAGTGGACAGTACGACGTTCGTCGCGATGATGTTGTTGATGTTCGGATGTTGACATCTTCCCCATATGAGTTCTTGCGCAGTTTAATGAGGTCAGTAGAGGCGAAGTTCCGAGACGCTGGACTGATAGGCGGAGTGGTTTCGCCGCTGGTAGATGGCAAGATGATGGTTCTTGTACAGCTTTCGCAAACTCCAGAGACATAGGTGATGGGAAGTGTACAGGACTTGCAGGTAGCCAACGTAGTCGATACCGTTGTTGTATGGCCACGTCTTCTGAAGTCGAAGCTCGGTATTGTTGGTGAAACGTCGTTTGGTCTATGCCTCTTGTCCTTGATTGGAATCACTATGCGGTGGGGCTGTGGTGGCTGCATAGTCCTCTCTCTCGTTCTGGCCGTCTCCACAGCTTGCCTCTCGTACCTGTCCCACATCTCCGCAGTCGTCGCTGGATTTCCTGGTGGTGGTCGGGGATCCATGAAAGGTGATGGGTTTCTTGCTAGGGCTGGAGAGTTCTGGGGCGCGAGTCTGGCCACAGTCGATGTAGCCATATAGCGGCTATGTTTCAGTGTTGGAAATGGTGAGGAGTGATAGCGTGAGGAAAGGGAGGTGTTGGGCCTATGATGCGAAGAAACTTTGGTAAGAGTCTGGGTCCGTAGACGATATATACTGGTGCGAGTCCAGGGTACCGGGGCCAAGCGGTGAGACAGGGTGGTTATCAGGTTATAAGTCTAATCCAAACAAGTCACCATGCTTTGGCGGTGGCGGGGATACACTCCGATAGAGAGACTTTGGTGTAGGCTAGGATCAAGCGTCACGTTGCGCCGCATCCGCGGATTCGACAGCGCTGTACTCTATTGATCTTCGGTCGATGAACGTGCAGTAGCAGTAAGATCTCCGCGTCTCTTTGGCTGTTTAGCGGGAATGCGATATGTGCTTGGTCCAATAGGCGCCACGCCGTGCAACGCAAGGCGTCACCGTGGACCCGATGGGCAGGGTTCATGGGCGAAAAGCAAAGGTGCAAGGAAGCACTGTCTTGTCAGCATGCGATGGCGTCTGTCGAGAAACGCTCTAAAACGCTGCAAATATGCCTGCGCATGCGGTATGCTTTGCAGCGCGCGTTGATGGCTGTGCTGATCCTCTTGACGGACGCCATGGGGAATCGGAACAAATGCAGTATATCCACCCAATTCAGCTAGCAAAGAAGTCGTGTCACTCGGACTCATTTGTGCGGTCGTAGACATGGCCGTGGGGTATTGTATTGGATCTCGTTCTTGTCGTACGGCGTCATTGAAACGTAACTCCATGTTCATTCTGAGACCCTTCATTGTTCGAGGGAAGAAGAAAAGACCGCACATGATTCGTGTCGCAATCTGAAGAGGACGATATGACGAAGATACATTTACAGCTTCATGACGACTGGGCGCGCAATCCGAGACGTTGTGGCGTAAGGAAAAACGAGCTGTCGCGTCAGATAAAGCCATAGATGCGAACGTCAGCGTCATCAGAGAAGAAAACCTTTCATACTGAAATCGATCACTCGCGATATGATCCATCCAAACTGCCCCGCCGTGTCATGTTCTGCGATGTGTCCAACGTTGCATTCGGGAAGCATAGCTCGGCTTCCATCCGTATCGTCGAGCGTCTGAGCACTGGCCGCGCGACCACCAGCTTAGCAAGGTGATTTGATAACGTGAACGGTAGAAGCCGAGTCAATCCACCGTGGTGTGCTAGTCGGGAGACTTGGGTGGAGAGTTGAAGTTGTGGTTCCAAGGTCGAGTCCCCCGCGGCCTTCACGCTGGTAGGCTTGGCGCGACGATTAGCGAGACGGGACGGGATGGCGCCGCAACAACAAAGATGCACGGCTTCTTGAGCGTCACTAAAGTGATCGATAAGTCTCCGACATGACGCAAGCCTCCTCTCGTCGCGTGGTGGAGATGCCTTGGCTCAGACCTCGGGGAATCTCCATCCGCGGTAGGTAACATGGAGAATGTTTGACTCGTTCCAAGGTCGTCTCATGAGGGACAGGCGCAGCGACTGAGGGCGCTCACAGGTTGACAAAGCAAAGAGATGAACGCATGGCGACGCAATCTCACGAAGTCGTGATTACCACCGATCGTGTGTACGACAAGGACTGGCACGGCTGCCAAAGTTGGTTGTTGACACCATAATCGACATTCACATTACCATCGACTGATCCACGCAACGGGATCGTGGCAGTCGGCAGTCGAAGCACGAATATACACTACTGCCTTTCACTCCGGCATCTCCCATGGCACTTGAGCGTTTCTTTTGTAGAGAAGGGCCTTCAGAATCGAGTCTGGCCGTCGATCATGGTGGGCACGGGATCTCGACCGGCCCCGCATGTCCCGGGACTGCATGAACGTCCAGCATGTCAGCACCAGACAGACCCCATACCCATATTAGCCATCTCCATTCAGCCAACCAAACAAGCAAGCATGGAGACACGACCGCATGCGTATATCAACAAATCTGGCGCCTGCTGCGCGTGAGAACCTTGGAAAGTTTCCTGGTTGACTAGTCTGCACCTGTAATCTTCCCTTGCACGGAACTCCGTAAGCCCTACATAGCATGCGTCCGACCACATGTCAACAATGTTTACCTTCCGCTGGGTGCTCCCCATGTCGCCCATGAAAGACAAAACTAAAAGCGATAGCGACGCACCTGCTTGGTCCTGGTTCTGAGTGGCAGTTTCCTACCCGAAGTAAAGGATCCCAAGGTCGAGATTACTGCTGGTTCCAAGGCTCTTGACATCATGATGGGCTTCCATTTCACCAGCCTGAGGGCTTTGGATCGCACTGACGGTACGGTGGTGTTGCAACAAGGTACGGTGATGCTCGTCTTTGTCCGTTTGAACGCGGAGCTAATTCGGCGCTTGCAGCTGGGTATGGTGAAAGTGCACCAGTAGACATCGTCCTCTTCCCACAACCCTCGCCAACCGACCCGAACGACCCTCTCCGCTGGCCACGATGGAAGAAACATGTCGCATTCGCTTCGGTGTGCGCCTTTACTTTCCTGACAAACTATTCGATCGCAGGCTTAGCGCCAGCGTTCCATATTCTCTCGCTCGAGTTTGATAAGCCGATGGACGAGACTGCGCATCTACTTCTATACCCCGTCTTGGTCTTGGGCGTGTTCAATTTCTTCTGGGTACCAATGGCCAATCATTTCGGGAAACGCCCGGTTTTCGTGTTCGCCAGTGCCCTGCTGTGCGCATGCTGCGTCTGGGGCGCCATGGCGAATTCGTTCAAGAGCCTCTTGTGGAGTAACATTGTCGCCGCGTTCGCAGGGTCTTCTACAGAAGCTCTGGGTGCTGCAATAGTCAACGTGAGTAATCCTGTACTACTTGCTCATATCCAAACCCAATCCAAGGGCAATGGGCTGAGCGATCTTGACCGACGAGCTGACTAAGTTTTCTCAGGACCTGTTCTTCCTGCATGAACGAGGCAGCAAGATGGGTATCTATATGTGAGCACATGTCCTCTCCTCATGGGCTCTTTTCAGTACGCTGACCGTGCGCCAGGAACGCGATAGCAGGGGGTAATACGGTGGGACCATTGGTCTGCGGCTTCATCGCGACCAACCTCAGCTGGCGATGGCACAAGTGGATTGCTGCAATTCTGACCGCACTCAACTTCCTCACGATACTGCTCTTAGTCCCTGAGACTCGATACACCCGTGAGCATATCAAAGGCGCTGGTGTGGCCATCTGCCCTTCGAACGATAAGATTGTCATGGCAGACGAGAAACATCTCCGGCCAAAGTCGAGCAATCGTATTTTGCACCAGGAGGTAAAGAACACATGGAGGCAGGAGCTGAGCCTATGGAGTGGTGTCTCGGAGACGAGCTTGGTGAAGCTGTTTATACGGTATGTAATAGTCCAGCTGGGTGGGAACTTGATACTAACGTCTGGCAGACCGTGGCCGATGATTGTGTACCCCGCTGTTATATACGCGTTTCTCTGCTACTCCATATCCCTGGTCATCACTATCGCGGTCAACATTCTCAATCCGTTCGTGCTGCAAGCACCTCCGTACAACTGGAGCCCACAGATCAACGGCCTGATCAATATTCCAGGCCTCTTGGGCAATGTCATCGGGGCTTGGGCAGGAGGTAAGTCACAATTGAGCACCACGCGGCCAGGAAACGTGCTGACTGAATGCAGGTGACCTCGTGGACATGTGGTGTAGGTGGCGAACAAGGAAAATGCTCGGAATCTACGAGCCGGAAACCCGACTATACCTGGTGTGCATTCCGTTGGTGATCACAACAGCAGGCTGCCTTGTGTTCGGCTATGGTGTTCAAAACGCCTTGTCGTGGGTTTCGCTCTTTTTCGGATACGGCATGATCTCGATGGCGCTCACAGCCATGCCAACGATCACTATAGCGTATGTGAGCGACTGCGCATTCCCAGTCAACTCGGACGTACTGCTGCTTGTGAACGGGCTGAAGAACATCGTGGCATTTGGCTTCCTCTTCGGTGTAATCCCTTGGGCTGAAGAGGCGGGTTTTGTCCGAGCTTTCGGTACCCTGGCTGGGGTCTTCGCTGGCATAGTCGGCATCGGTGCTGTCTTGTTGGTTATTTGGGGCGCCAGCATACGCCACACTTCGGCACAGTGGAGGGTCATCCTAGAGTGAGCAATGCGGTAAAACCAATGTAATGTGTAGATTGAAAGCCTGATGAACACGTGTAAGATGCCGTGCGATCCAATGACCCGTATCGGAACACATGCCGTGGAAGGCAAAGTACAAACAACGCTTGCTCATCATGTCTGGGATTGCTATGCAGGGGTCTTGTCTATGAGCTTGGTGTGCATCTTCTCAATCTCGGGGATGATAAGAGATTCGATTTCCAGAGAAGGCTCGCCCTGCGGTACCCCTTTCTCTGTTGCAAGTGATTCGCTTGCTTGGACGTCGTTCTTGGTCAAGGGATCGGCCAACCCGACAAGTGATGGCATTCCTGACAAGCTCTTCGTTCTACGGCTGGTGGGTACGCGTATCCATTTTTCGTCATCGAAGACGGACACGAACACAACTTCCCATTTCCGAGTGGCTAGTAGATTCCCGATTACAAGATGGTGAGAGTATTTGTTCAGGGCGTATTTGGCTTTGGTAACCAGCAGGGCAGGGTCAGTCTCCAGCTTGAAGCTCACAATCATCGCATCGGGCGCCCAGCCATCAACGAGCTGCTTGAGGAACTTGGGTACGGGCTCGAGGTCGATGATCAGACTCTTTCCTTCAGTGCGCGCAGCCGGTGGCTTCACGTCGCCCCCACGGGCGCCATCTGGGCCCTGGTGGAACTCTTCGTTGGACTGTATCTTGTGTTCGACCATGCGGTCTTGGGGTACGAAGAAGTCAGACACGGCGGCGGCCAAGTAGAACATGGCTTTCGGTCCAAGTGGACGCATGAGTTGCGCAACCTCGCGCAGATTCCACAGGTACTCGGTGATGGTCACGTAGGACAGGATCAATAGCTTGTTCTCTCGCTTGACCTCCGTGTACTGGCGTAACACACGCAACATCTGGTCCTGGTGCTGTTCATCCACCACTACCTGTCCATTTTCCTCCTTCATGTAGTCCAGGAATGAGCGCGTGTTGTGCGAATAGTGTCGCGAGAAAGGCAACAGCGAAAACTGTCGGTGCAGGAAGATGACGGCATAGCCGTTTTGAAGGAAGTACTCGGCACTGGTGGCTCCCCGAGTACCGGCCGAGAAGTTGTCGATATAGCGGACTGTCTGCTGCTCTAGAGGCACTGTGGTGCCACCTGAAGTGACAAGCACGACGCGACGGCCCTCGTCGGCATGACGCGTGATGAATTCGCGCGCAAGGGTCGTGTTCGTTTTGAGATCTTTTGGTGGGGGCTCATTGGCAAAATAGTGGCTTTCAGCCTGTTGTGCGCTCGTATCCGTCATGGTGTCATGATGGGGGGTGTTCGGTCGTGTCGAAGGAGCTGAGCGAAGTACCGGCATGGCGGGGTAGCTCCGAGCTCACCTGGAGGGGCATGCTGAGTAAGACAGGCACCTAGATGGCGTCATAGGAAGCTTTCTGTTAGATGCTTCAATTAACATCATCGTAAATGTTTTCTTGCTCTGCATTGTTTTTCAGATGCTTTCAGCCGCCGTCCCATGGTACTGAGATGACCTGGAGGCAGACTAGAGACGACGAGTCAACCGCACCTTCCGCATTTCATACGACTCATACGCAAGGAGACGCTCTCGAATAAGAGGTATCGCAACTGCGAGGACTTATGTCATTGAATCTGAGGAAAGCGCCCGTTCCCTTAACGAAGCGTCCTGCAGCTGTTTAGTGCTCGCAATTCACCCAGCTCAATACGTACCTGGGTGCAAGCTCATAACAATTACACTGTTCCCGAGTGTCCGTCACTTTCGCACAGCAGATTCAAATCTATGACGAACATAGATCGCGATGACTTGTACGTTCCCCAAAACCTGCCCAGGCAGTGACCGATACGAGATGAGAAGCCTCGGTTCAAGATTCCTGAAAGTGACCAGAATTCGTTTCGAGGCGGAACATATAAAAGAGCATCCGGATGCAACTCCGAAAAGGTGGACTCATTTCACCTAGTAACCTAGCTAGAACTAGATATTTCGGCTACAGAACATGCGAGATTTTGAGTTCCCGTGCGACATTTACCATCTCCCGGAGTATACTCCTGCCATACGCTACTGTCGTTCGTCGACACCTTAATCTGGGGCAAATGCTCGGGCAAATGTTCATCACTTTGACCATAACAGCCGTGGGGGCTGGAAGAGCATTGTAGGTGATCCAAGGGTGTGTTGATCCGGTTAATCTCGTGCATTCTAGTGGCGTGCATGCACGCCCAGGAGTATTACAGTCAATGTATCCATCCACCAGAACCCAAGTCGCATCATTGAAACGACATATCTGTAACGTCTTGATGAATGCAACGAGTCAGACCTTGTTCTTCCAAAGGCCAGATAGGGATGGGTTGCTTCAGGTACAGCCGGACCGAGTTCAGCATGCGTCACTTACGAAGTCTTCAAACTTCAGTCTAGACAGGTCAGCTCAGGAGCTAGTGTACAGGGCGTTTAAGCGCTCCGGAGCCGAAGTGATGACATTGCATATTCACGCTGAAGCAAGTGATTGAAGGTACCAGCGCAATGGTCAGTTTAAACTTAATGACTGCGACCCTGAAAAATGGACACTGATGACCAGAGCGTACACCGGCAAGGCAGTATCCTTCCTTTCTAAAGTTAAACTCCTTGTGCGCGACGAAACAAGTGGAGTGTTGGCTGGATATGGATAAAGGTGATGTGACTAGAAACATGTGATGATATTAGCTTTGAGGCAAAATGAGCTGCGGTCCGTAAAGTACTGTAAGGGCACAGCCGCAACTGACGTGGCATATCGCCACAAGTAGTGAACAGTCCAGAACAGGTCGATCATTCAGTTCATGGTATGAAGCCTTGCTGCAAATGACTCAAACCTCATCAAACTGATAGGACAAACTGATTCGAAGAAGGGCATGGGCAGGGACTGGCTAAGATAGCTTCAGAGACAATTGCGATACGAGCTATGAAAGTATGAAGTGACACCATGGTGTCTTCAGGCTGAAGGAGACTGGTTTCTGTTGCAGAGCGGAGTCTGGTCCGTCAGAGCCATGCGCGACTCAATCTGATGGTCGTGATCGGTTACAGATGCTTGGTTAGATGACGGCATGCGCGAGGGACGAAAATCCTGGGTGCAGCTACTTGAGCAGAGGCTCAGAATGAATAGAGTGCGTCTTTGACTCAGACTGCGGTCTGGTCCCTCGGGCAGGTCATTGAGATGGTACTTTGGTATGCGGTATGATTGCGATAGCTTTGATGTGGATCCCTGGAGTGTCTGGTGCGTCGTTGAGGCGGTAGTAGTTCCTTGACGTTGGCCAGTCATCCGAGAAACTGTAGCGACTGGTAATGACTCTCTGTTGTTGGTGCCATCATCATGGAGATGGAGGCAGCAGGTGAAGTTGGTTGCAGAAGACGCGACGGAAATCGCGCTATCACGTGCGATCTGCCACTAGCGCATTTAGGTAAGCAAACAGCGCGTTTACGAAGTGAGAGCACCAACTTTCCGGTAACGACTTCCCACCGTCGCGCCTCCAACTCCCCATTACCGTTGTCGTCTTGCTTCACAAGTATCATAATATTCTGACGCGACCGCAAACATGTAAGAAATCAAAGTCCGCGACAGACCTGACAGGCGGAGCTAACACAGCGCAGGGAGGCGTTCAACGACATCTACCTCAACCTTTCGCGGAAGCCTGGCGCGACTCGATTCTCCGACTCCGGCTTTGGCTGGAAGCCCGCAAACGGCGAAACCTACACTTGCGACCAGTCACAGATCCAACAAGCGCAGTGGAGCCGAGCATCACGCGGATACGAAGTCAAGATTCTCTCGCGCAACGACGGCGTGATACAACTCGATGGCTTCAAGCAGGAGGATTTCGACCGCGTCTCCAAAGTCTTCAAGACTTGGTACGGCATCGGGCTGGACAACCGGGAGCATGCCCTGCGCGGCTGGAACTGGGGAAAGGCCGACTTTGGGAAGGCTGAACTCACCTTCAACGTAGCCAACCGCCCCGCCTTCGAAGTCCCCTACACCGAAGTGTCCAACACAAATTTGGCAGGCAAGAACGAAGTCGCCGTCGACTTCTCGTTGCCTGCCGATGGCGACGCTGGCGCAAACGGAAATCTGGGAGGCGCAAGGTTCAGAGGCAAGAAGTCGGCAGGCGCCCGCGACCAGCTTGTCGAGATGCGCTTCTACATACCCGGTACTGCGTCGAAGAAGGAGAAGACAGAGGATGGCGAAGACGCCTCCGGGGCCGAGGACGTTGAGGAGACCAACGCCGCCAACCTGTTCTACGAGACGCTGATGGAGAAGGCCGAGATTGGAGAGGTCGCCGGTGACACATTCGCCACTTTCTTGGACATTCTACATCTCACTCCCAGGTATGACGCTCGTATCTGCAGCCTCAGAAGAAATACTAACACAATGGCAGAGGTCGATTCGATATCGACATGTACGAGAGCTCCTTCCGGTTACGCGGTAAAACATACGACTACAAGATCCAGTTCGACTCGGTCAAGAAGTTTATGGTTTTGCCAAAACCCGACGACATGCACACTTTGATCACCGTCGGTCTCGATCCTCCACTTCGCCAGGGACAAACGCGGTACCCGTTCCTCGTGATGCAGTTCAAGCGCGACGAGGAAGTTAATCTCGACCTCAACATGAAGGGGGACCTCTTGGAGGACAAGTACAAGGACAAGCTTCAGTCGCACTACGAAGCCCCGATTGCTACAGTTGTGGCAGATATCTTCAGGGGACTCAGTGGGAAGCGCATCACCAGGCCGTCTCGCGACTTCATCAGCCACCACGAGCAGTCGGGTGTCAAGTGTTCCATCAAGGCCAACGAGGGTCATCTGTTCTGCCTCGATAAGGCCTTCATGTTCATCCCTAAGCCTGCGACATACATCAGCATGGACAACATTGCCTCTGTGACCATGTCGCGTGTTGGTGGAGCCATGGCCGCCAGCCGCACATTTGACATCACTTTCAGCATGAAGAACGGCATGGCTGAACATCAGTTTTCAAACATCAATCGGTGAGTTCAC